CCTCTCTTTCAAAAGTAAAAGAAACACTCCTTCCCTGGTACACAATCCCCCTGCACCCCTCCTACCGGCCCAAGTACATTCTACTATGCAACCTTAATTGTGGACTTTTGTGATAACCATAATCCATAATACCCTATCATACATCGCTTTTAAATTATTCACTCCCTCATCTGTTTCAGTGCAGTATACACAGTTTATCCAGTTTTTCTCAGTCTTTCATTAAAATTAATTTTTAAAAAGTGAGGGGGGAAAAAAATTAATCCACCCTGATATCAATCCCATTTTACAACAGTGGCACCATGCAATATTTATTTGTCCTTTTGCGACTGAGATATTTCATTCAGCATAATGTCCTCCAGGCTCACCCATTTTTAATAATATTGCATGAGTTCCTTGTTTTTCAATGCAGCATAGTATTCCATTGTGTGAATATACCACAGCTTCTGTAGCCGTTCGTTTGTTGATGGGCACTTGGGCTGTTTCCAACTCTGCTATTGTGAACAAAGCAGCATAAACATGAGTGTGCATCTATCTGCTTGGGTGGCAGATCTGGTTTCCTTAGGGTATATTCCCAGTAGTGGAATTGCTGGGTCAAATGGTATCTCTATTTGCAGCTTTTTGAGAAAGCACCATGCCACCTTCCACAGTGGTTGCACCATTTTACATTCCCACCAACAGTGAATAAGGGCTCCAGTTTCTCCACAACCTCGCCAGCATTTGTTGCTTGCTGTTCTGTTAAATTTTGCTATTCTGACTAGGGTGAGATGCTATCTCATAGTTTTTTTTATTTGCATGTCTCTTAGAGCTAGGGATTTTTTTGAACATTTCATTTCTTCATGTGCTTGTTGGCCATCTGAAAACAACTTACTTTTAAGGTGGGTGTTTCTTTTCTTATTTTGGACCAGAAGGCTAGAGTGATTTGTTCTAGTTCTAGTTTTTAATCACAGAATAAAGTTAAAAGGTACATTTGTATATCACCTTTTCTTTCCATTAATATGCTCTGTAATATTATTTATAGCTGCGTAGGATTTGGGGGTTTTTTTGAAGGTAAAAAGTAAAGATATATTTATTAGAAAGTTATATCCCGAAAATAGGATGGTCTTTCCACCGTGGAAAGGACTAGTCAGGCTACATAATTTGCTTTATATGCTGTTTTGTAAACTTTGTGTGTGTGATAATATATATCGTGGCATTATTTTGTCAACTAAATTTTTTAAGTTTGTGTGAAAGTTTGTAAATCATATTCATTTTTTTCATTCATACACATTTTGTTTTATAGCATTAATTATAATGATCATTGTCATTAATCAGAATGTCTTCATCAGATCCTTATTGTACCTTGCCTTTCCCTTCCCCCAACTTATCTGTTAATTTTTATTCCTTTCTCCTTCCCTCCCTTCTCATCTCTGTTAATCATCCAATATTGATTCTGTCTCTGTAAACATTTCCTTAGCCTTTTGTATTAATGGTCTTACATCATAAATCTCCTTTTATGACTGACTTATGTAACATGCTTAATATGTTGCTGCAAACTTTTAAATTGATGGCTGTACTTAAAAACACTTTTTTATTTCAATTGTTTATGACCACCATGTGAAATTGAGCGTCAGTCTGTTGATGTAGAATGATGTTCCTTTTTTAATTAATTAAAATGTGCAGGAAGGCTACAGCCGTCATTTGCAGCAACTTGTTAAAAGTTGATTTATGGTAAGACTTCCAGTAAAACCCTAATTATTCCAAGATCATTTTCAAAAGACAAAATTATTTAAGATAGTGATCGAGATAGAAGAATGATGTCTTTATTTTTTTTCTCTAAAAGATGGATTTATTAAAATTTTTCATTTGTGCAGTTAATTAGCACACATTAACTGATGTAGGTAAAAGAAGAATAACCTTTTTCCTTTTTTGACAATGCGTTTTTTTTGTGTAAGAATTTGCCTTTATAATCGGGTACTTAAATCTTTTTATGTATATAGTGGTGACCTATAAACTTGCTATATATCCTACAAATGAATTTCATTGGTAAGATTTTTCTAGACCTACAATATATTTCTAATACTGTAACACAAAAGCCAAATTCTGTAGGGGAACATTTGATTGGAAAGAGATTCTAAGTTGTTTACTGTAAACAAAACCGTTTCCCAAGTATAAACAAAATATATAGTTTTGTTTTCCAGTAAAATGAGATATTCATTTTATAGGAAAATTGGTATAGATAATCATTTAGTCATATAAACTTGCTTAACTAATAAACTCATTTTCTTTTAGAAATCAGTAGTTTTTTCTGTTAATATTTATCTAAAATAAGGACTTTTAGAGAAAGAAACCTATCAGAATCTTGATGAGAAAATTCCCTGGCACAAGAGTTTTAAAATGGTCCCAGTTAATTCTCTGTGGATGTGCTTATATTGTCTCAGTGTCTTCACAAATGCTTCGCATTTGAAAATTGCTAATTGATTCACTTTTTATTTTTGTGTGTTTGAATATCTTCTGGACCAAATTGGTGAAAAACTGTACTCTTTTCTTGAATAGTAAGGAACGAAATATATTGGTATTAGCATCATAATTTGCCTAATTGGTTTATTTCCAGTTTATTTGTCCTTGTCCATTATGCATCCATTTTCATTGATGGAGTTTGTGACAAGATACTTAAAATAATGAAGAATAACATAAGTTTTTATTTCTTCAGTCAAGTATTAATACAAAAAATTAAATCATATTTATGAAGGCAATCTCTCTTTTGTGCTTTTTATTTTCTAGTTCTTCCATAATTGGAAAGAATTCAGATTCTTCAGTCCATATTTAAAACTTAATACTTATTGTCTAAAATTAGAAGAAAAGCGTTGCTTAACTATATTACATCCCTGATACAAATTTACATTATTTTTAAAAAATTTTTTATTTAATTTTATTTTATACTATTTATAAAGTTTGAATACATTGTTTTTCACACTGGATCTTTCCCATTTTCCTTCATCCTCCATCATATTGTATGACCGTATAATTGACTTCCCCCTCTCCGCTCATCTTCATCCCTGTGCTTCTACCCTACCTCCTTGAATCCTCATTCTTAGTCTACGATAATGCTTTAAGTACAGTATTTGTCCTTATGATACTGAGTTAGTTCACGCAGCATAATGCTCTCCAGTCACTCCCATGTTAAGTAGTAATTTACAAGATTATTGCCTTTGTGTACTGCATATTATTCCATTGTATGAATGTACCATAATTTCTCAATCTTTTCAATTGTGGTTGGACATCTGGGCTTTTTCCATGTTCTTGCAGTGGTGAATAACGCTGCTATAAACATTGATGTACAAGTCATCATTTGTGATTTTTACCTGAAAACACTAGTTCTATTTTTTTCTTGGGAAAGATTTAAAGAAGGATGCATATTATTTTATTGTCTAATCACTGGGTACTTTTGAAGGTAGGAGCCCTTAAAATACAGTATATAAAGCTAGAAGATAGGCCTATTTTTTGGTGTACTTTCCTTTTTTCCTGTCCTACTCAGCAGGCATCTCAGAGAGAGAAAAATATAACCTGCTTCTTCCAGTCATTTTACCTGAGAGGAAACTCACTAAAATACGTGTATTTAATTTAAATTTATCTCAAAAAAAGGGTACATTTATATAGTTAATACCTATGTATTTTGAACTGAGTTGTCTATGTTGCCAGGAGCTGAATGAAAACCAGAGCACTCCCAAAAAAGAAAAACAAGAGTGGCTTTCAAAGCAGAAAGAGAATATACAGCATTTTCAGGCAGAAGAAGAAGCGAACCTTCTTCGACGTCAAAGACAGTACCTTGAACTAGAATGCCGTCGCTTCAAAAGACGAATGTTACTTGGGCGTCATAACTTGGAGCAGGACCTTGTGAGAGAGGTACATTTTTGTATATTTGTGTGTGTACATATATGTGTGTTTTAGGTAAAAGTTTACATAGCAAATTAGGTTCCCATTTAACAATTTTTATACCAATTGTTGCGTGGCATTAATTATAATATTTGATTATGTTAGCTTGCATATTATTACCATTATGTTTGTTCTCTTTCCATTTATCAAGCTTCCTTGTTCCTCCTGGCTTTCATATAAACACTGGCCATTTGGTCTTGTTAATTGATTATTTAAAGGAGTACATTCCTTACAGATAATTTTGTTTCTTTTATTTTGGAGCTTTAACCAGACCTCTAGAGTGAGGGAATTATATTTGAATAATGTGAAAATTCTTTTTGAGTACAATCTTTCCTTGAAAATATACTATTGACCTTTCAACTTCAGGGTCTTTGTACTCTTGTTGCCTTGGTCGCCCTTACACAGTTATCTCCATGACTTGCTCTCTTCCCTTAAGTCTGCTCAAGTGTCTCTCCTTTAGAAAGGCATCCCCTAAGGACCATATCCTTCTCTCTCTGTTTCCTCTTTTACGTTTCTTTCTGTCTTATACACACACACACACATATATACTTTTATTAGGGGAAGATTCTGTATCCCTCTCTAGAATCAGAGGGATATGCAATCACAGACTTTTGTCTAATTAGTTATTTTTACGTTATCTGGCTCTATTAGGCATTCAGTATATAACTACTAAATAATGCATAAATGAAAGAGCTGTAAATTTTTAAATAAGAAAATTAATAAGCCAGTTTATTATTCTTCAATCTGATATATGTTCTTAAAGAATATATTATTTTTATAAAAATTACTATCTTTTTATAATCATGTAATTTTTTTAAAACCATCTAATTACTTATTAAATAAATGTTACAGAAACTTACATACCAGATGACCACAACTGTTTAATAGTAAAACTTTTAAATAGTCATAACATCTAATCTTAAGAAATGGCAATAGTTCGAGAAAGGCTTCAGCTCTTTTTTTCATAGGGTCGTGAGTTGTGTATATGAGTTGTGCTTGACTAGATGGCAATCAGCAACAACAACATCTAATTCTAGCAGTGACATGGAGAAATAGGTACTGTTGGTAAAAGTATAAATTGATACTGCCCTTTGAGGGCATTAACAGTATACATTTAACAAGAAGGGATTCTGTTTTTTTTTTTAAATTCTCTATTTTCTAGTCTGAATATATGGTCAGTATATTGTTAAATGCCCACAGTGTGTATTATTTACTTTTATGTTTTTGTATAATAGAAGTCACAATAAGTACAGAAAAAGATTAGGAAGCATATGCATCAATTCCTGGGCCTGGGGAAGCAGGTTGCTGAGGCAAAGACCTGACATCTACATTTTATGTGTACATATATAGAGTTGTTGCTTTCATTCTGAGAAAATGCAGAGTAACATTTATTGAACAATGTGCTTTTATGGGGACATTTCATATGTGAACTTATTTCATTCTTAAATAAGTGAAATAGCCCTGTTAATGTTGTTACATCTATTTTAGAGGTAAGGAAAATGAAGCACTGAGTTTTTTTAACAAGGGAAAAGAAATAAGGAGTTCAAGTTACCTAAAGACTCACTTCTAGTAACTAGCAGAGCCAGGATTTATAATACAGCCAGTGTAACTCTATAGTCCATGTTCTTAAACACTAGACTGTATTTGGTATATCTTAATAAGTTGAATAATATACCCTAAAGAAATTCAGTTTGGAGGCAGTCTTAGAGGTGACTGTCTCCCAGAGCTGTGTAATAAAGTGCATTTATGGAGAGAAAAAAAAAGAAATTCCGTTTATGACTTTAGGAGACTTCTTAAAATATGAAATGAGAAGCAAAAGATAAAAAAGTAAAACCCTATTAAAATAGATTTGGTGTATTTTAATCTTAGAGCATAAAACCCTCCAGCAGGTCTTTGGACACTATGAATCACGTAGAAAGAGATTGCCCATCTGATCACCTGCAGAGCTGCTGATGGATTCAAGCTACAAGTTGCCACCTTTCTCTTAGCAGCCCAGTTCTCTACAGACTATGCCCCCAAGAGCTCAGGGTAGCATAAAATATTATCGGTAAATAGTAAATGGATATGTAAAGTAGTTTGTGCTACTGATTACTCATTTACTTAAAGTGAAAGTCTTAAAATCTATTGTTGAATCAGAGTAATATGTTTTCCAGTATGTCTCTTAGAATCTTATTTTTTTAGCATTGTACAGCAGTAAATTATACTTGTGTATTTTGTGTTATAAATTAGGAACTAAATAAAAGGCAGACCCAGAAGGACTTAGAGCATGCCATGCTACTGCGACAACATGAATCCATGCAAGAACTGGAGTTCCGTCACCTCAATACAATTCAGAAGATGCGCTGTGAATTGATCAGGTTGCAGCACCAAACTGAACTCACTAACCAGCTGGAATATAACAAGCGAAGAGAACGAGAACTAAGGCGAAAGCATGTCATGGAGGTTCGACAACAGCCTAAAAGTTTAAAGGTACCTTTAAGCTTAATAACAAGGGGGAGGAGAAATAAAGGACAGCTGTGTAAACTTTAAAATTCTAAGACTAATAGCTTTCATAAAGAAATTGATAAAACATTTTTCTTTTAAGCTCTTAGATTTTTACTAATCTAGTTCTTAGCCAAAGATCTCCCCTCTAGCCACCAACAACTAAAAGGCTAAAACTTTTAACTGTGGATAGTAGCAGTGAAAATCAAGATTCTTATTTTAAACCATTCTGAATGTCTGTTGCTAATACTAGTTACTAGTTATTCAGTGTTCCAGAATGTTGACTTTTATAGTTCCAATTTATACTGGTTTAGAATTGTATTTACTATAAATAAATATATAACTAGGGAGCTCTGATGGCAGAGTATGTAGAGAATTGCTCTACTAAACCAAAGACAGCTGGTTCAAATCCTCCAGCAGCTCTGCAGGAGAATTATGGGCAATTGCTTTCTGTGCAGTATTACGCTCTGAAAACCCACTGGAGGGTCAACCATGATTCCATTCTAATTCAATACTGACAAGTGAGCTTACATAAGTATCCAGAATGTAAATCAGAATGGAGCAAGTAGGTTATATGTGCTTCCCTAACCAAACAAGGAAAGATAAGTGCTGGTGATATATAATACCAAAAGTCTTTATTCTTTTTTTTTTTTTTTTTAGCAAAACACGTGAAAAAGGTTTATTAAGGTAATAAGACAGATACATTGCTAAAAAGGTATGCCAAGCAAAGAGTTCACATGAAAAAAGAAAGGAAAAGTGGGTAAAGGACCCTTAGAAGAGACAGGAATGGACTCAAACTCTACAGTGTGGTTTTAGCAGAAAAGGAGGGGAAAGAACACCAAAAGTCTTTTAAATTTGTATTTGTTTTGAATAGAGAAATCTATTCCCATGTTACAAAATTCAAGACACAAAAGTGGACCCTCAGTGAGATGGATTGATTCAGTAATGGGGGTAGGTGTGTCATAGACAATAAGATTGGCACAGGACAGAACAGGGTTTAGGGCTGTCGCTATGAGTCACCATGAGTTGTAGGCGACTCAGTGGCACATAACAACACAACAAAGGGTAGTTATGTTGACTGCTGAGATAACCTTCAACAGCCATTGCTCATAAAAAATGAAATTCATGAAGGAGTAGAGAAAGATGGTAAAATGGTGGATGTTCCCATTTACTCGTTTACTGAAATCTCAGAACTCCACATGACAACTTAAGTTTTGAAAAATTGAGTTGAGCCCAGAAGTGGGGACATAAGAGAAACAAGGATGAAGCTGGTAGAATCTTATCTCACTAACATCTGTAACACTTGCTTATCACAGCCATTTTGGAACAGCACTGGTCAAACATGGACAGCTAAAAGGAACTTATGGCCTTATTTTTTTAAAGACAGTACAGATTGGGTGTGTCAGGGCTGCACAATTGGAGAACAAATTGTTGTGGACTATGGTTTAAAGGAATGCTGTTAAATCTCTTTGAGGTCCAAGACAGACCTAGGGTACTAGCACCATGAGGGACTGCAAGAGCAGCCTTACCAATACTGTAGATAGATTACCACAGCTCCTTGTCCACAGGGACACAGTAGGAAAGCTTATCAATGGTATGCCCATAAGGGAAAGTCCTCCATCTTTACCACAGGAAAATTGAGTCCCACTGCTAATGTAAGAGTCAGTTAAATGCCTTTTACTGCATACACATGCATATTACATTTCAAAGATCTGGATCCTCAGAGGCAAGAATAATGAAAATCCATTTCACATAACTTGAATGTTCTTGTCAGTGTTGTTGCGTATATTGTCAGGAGGGAGCCAGTCCTTGGAAAAAGACATCATGCTGGGGAAGGTAGAGGGGTCAGAGAAAGAGAGCAAGACTTTCAATGAGATAGCATGGACTCCATGACTGCAGCAATGGGCTTGAGTGTAATGGAAATTGTGCAAGCTTCAAATCTATTGTAGTTGACTGAGTAACTCCTAAAACCATATTTCAGTCCACACTGGAAAGGGGGGAAAACCCACAAAAAAAGGATAAGAGTGCCCTCTAGAGCTTCTCATGAGAAGATGCCATATCTACTGCTACTACTGGGTTGACTGATTCATAGGAACTTGTAGGACAGAATAGAACTTCTGTATTGAGATTTCCTAGGCTATGAATCTTTTCAGAGGTAGGCTACAACTTTGTACTGAGGAGCAGCTGATGAGTTTGGCCCAAGCCTTTCCACTGACAGTGAGTGACTTGTCCACATTATCACACAGAGCTGAATCAGAACATTTCCTCACAAAATTCAAAGGAAAAAAAGAATCAAAATGGCTCAAGTTGAACCAAAAAACTAGTAATAGAGAGCATGCCAAGATCAAAGGGAAAATTTTTGTCAAAAATAAGGATTTTTACCCAATTGTGTGTGACACATCCAAAGTGAACTAATGATAGGAGTTCACGTGGGACTTTAGAAGGCTGGGGTCCTTTCTTCAGATTCATCTCATTATCCATTTCCCTGTCAGGCAGAAGTACATACTACAACTGAAACAGCAGCTTAACACTTGACAAGTAAAATATGTCAGTGAGCAATACATATCCCATTGGTCATGAAATGATTAAAGAAATAAAAAGTTCACAGAAAACAAATTAGTGGAGATCAGGAAATAATGGATGAGCAAAATGAGAAACTCAACAAGTAATGGAAAACTGTGGAAAGGGAAGACTGCTGAAACTAAGACTAAGATGACTTAATTAGAAAGGGCAAGAGAAGCCCTCTAAAGAGTTGAACAAACAAAAGAGAATAAATGCATGAACTAGATAGAAGACAGAATAATTTATCAAATCTCAAAACACATAAGAGAAAAGAACAAAGACTAGCAAACCAAAAGGAAATATGAGATTCAATGAAGAAATCTAACATTGGAATTATTGGCATTCCAGAGCATCATGGCAATAAAGGAATATATACAATTTCCCAAGACATGATCAGTGAAATTTCTCATATCTAGACAAGATGATTCTCTAACCAAGCTTGCAAATATAGGAAACTACACAAGCCCCGGTTAGCAGACATAGAAAGATCAACTCTGTGCTGTAATCTAATAAAATTCATGAAAACAGCAAAAGAAAAATGCAATGTAACATACAAAAGCACTTTCATTAAAGTATGATAAAATATTAAATATTATTTCTACTTCAAGTAAAAAGGTAGAGGTATTAATACTCATATGCATATGTGAGGAAAAATTAAAAATAAGCCTCAAAAAATGCAACAATAAGGAAAATCATAAAGGACCAAGTGTAATATACTTTCAAAGGATGATAATAATATAACAAAGTTTTTAAGACATAAGTACAAAGTAAATTTACTGAATATAGGTTGATTACTGATGTCAATTGAGATGTGTCAAAAGAAAATAGGAGGGAGGAGCATATCAGGAATAGATTTACTATATTAGGTTTATATGCTGATTGTTCATATTTACCGCCCTTGCAGTTATAAGTTGTGTAGTGAAATATATATTTGGAAATCCACTAAGAAATCACTCATCATTAAGAAGAAAACTATAAAGCAACCAAATACAAACAAAAAAATCAGAATTAAAAAACAAAAATGCTATAAAATACTAAAAAATCAAATCAATAAAGATTTTGATAGACACTTTATTTTTAATACCTTAAATATAAGTTATCGTGGGGGGGTGCCGGGGGAGGGCTGTACAGGGAGAAAGTGCAACAGTGAGTAAATGGAAATCCAAAATCTCTGTAAATATTCATTAAAATTATTAAAATTTTTAAATTTTAAAAATATATAAGTTATCTAAATTCGTCATGCAAAATGAGAATAGCAGTATGATTTTTTCAAAAATGATTCATACTTTTATTGTCTGCGAGACACATAAGGATAAAACTAGGCTTAAGATAAAAGAATGGAGAAAAATATTCCATTTAACCAATAAACAGAGGGTAGAGTGGCCATACTTACACCAGACAAAACTGATTTTAAATAAAAATTTATTACAAGAGTTACAGAAAGACATTACATAATAATAAAAAAGTCAATCCAGCTAGAAAATGTAATAATCATATATAAGCACCTAATAGTGCATGAAAATATCTGAAACTAATATGGAAAAAGAGACAACTCTACAATAATAATTAGAAGAGTGCAACAATGAATGAATGGAAATCCAAGTTCTCTATAAGCTTTCATTAAAATCTCAGTTAAAAAATAAGAATTTTTTTAAAAAATAGTAGAGGCTTGGACATACCACCTCCTTTTACAGACAGAACATCTAAAAAGATTATCGCTGAGGATGCTGAGATCTTAATTAAAATCATGTCAGTTTAATCTGACACACCCTGCACCCAGCATGAGAATAATGCACATCTATCTCTAGCATACATAGATAATTTTCTAGAATAGACCATATGGTTTTTGTTAGGTATTGTCAAATCAGCTTCAACTCATAGCAACCCTATGAACAACAGATCTGAATTTTGCTTTTTCCAGCACTGTCCTCATGATCTCTGATATGCTTAAGCCCATTATTACAGTCACTGTGTCAGTTAATTTTGTTGGGAGTCTTCTGGTCAAGACACAAAACAAGTCTCCACATATTTAAAAAGCATTTCTCTGACTACAATGATAAGCTAGGAATGTTGTTTATTGTTGTTGTTGTTCTTGTTATTCTTGTTGTTGATTGCCATCAAGTCGAGCACAATTCATGTGCTATGAACAAAAGACCTGAAGCCTTTCTATAACTATCGTAATTTCTCCAAGTTCATAGAGTTTCCAGAAGCATGTGGTTTAGGAAGTGGATGCCACTCCTGCTGCCAAACCTGTCTTAAACTGGGAGTTCCACCAACACTGTCCACCATGGGCAGCTCTTAAGGCATTTGACACCCCAGTGGCACAGGGTTCAGCATCACAGCAAACCCAGATTACCTCAGTAAAGCAAATTGACAGAATGCTGTACAACTTAGAAGACTATTTCTCCAAAATACAATAACAACCT